AACTTAAGCAATCAACAACTTAAAGATACACCTTCATTCATAAGTTTACGCTATTAAAAATTGCCGCAACGCCGTTGGGGGTGTTGAGCACCCGCAGCGCTTCGGATGACTCTATATTTGATTGGGCAGTTAACGGCCTTTCAATCGACATTAAACGCTGAACATTATTTTGAAGGGTGTCAGTCCAACGAAGCACAAATGTGGCCACAGCATAAACCACATTCGAAGTCGCCGTTCCATTTCCATTCCCATTCCCAATCGCACTCGCACTTACATCGAACGAAACAAATGTTCGTAATCAGCACAGGCGGCGCTTAGTCCATTAAGGCGAATATCGCTTAATTGCTTCCCCAATGCGCCGCGGGATACGTTTTCTTTAAATCAAGACAACCAAGACAACCAAGACAACAAGACGAACATAGGCCACGTACTCTGTGCGTCGATACTCTATGCACTATGCAGATGCCTTCAATGTAACGGCGATGATTTGATTATTTTGATCGTCGTTACGAGCGTTTTGATCGCAGTGTGTTTACATTACCGCTTCGGTTGGACACTAGAAATGTATTAAGCGCGGTGCGAAGCATTGTAGCCTTCCGCCACCTGCGGCTAAGGCTTGTTTTACTTTGTGTTCTGTGAAATATATTTGAACTAATTAATAATTTAAAGCAACGACAAGATTGTTTTAAATCAATTACGATACTTTTGCGACGTGTGCTCTGTGCTCCACTGCTGCACTGCAGCATTTCAGCGTTTCAGCCATAATTTATGCACCAACTATCATGGAACAGATACAATATATTTTAAAAATAATTTTAATGAAATTTTTAATTTGACTTCAAATTAATTTTTATTGAAGTATTTGCTTCGTTATCAGTGAACTTGGACACTTTCAAGAAGTGCTAAAGCAAAACCTAATTTATTTTTATAATTGAAACAATTTTTATTATTTTAATTATTTTAATTTGTTTTCGTGAAATAAATTGCTCAGCGCTGAGCGCGATTAACTTATTTGTTCACTAATATAATTAATTGAGTTTTAATACAGCAGATAAGGAACAATCGGAGCGGCGTTGAAGCTGCGTTGACGCTGCGCTGAAGCCGCTGCTAATTAATCGCAAATAATTAAATACACAGAAAATCTATCTGTGGTGTGTGTTTTTGAACTCCGCTGACACTTAACAAATAACACAAATAAAAATTATAATTTTGATAAGCTGGAATTAAACACTCATAGAGCAACAGGCACCAGCAACAAAGACCATAAAGTCCATAATCAATTCATTATACAATCGTTAATTTATTCTAGTATTTCGGTGTGTTCGTAGACGATCGATGGAGACGTACAAATGTCGTTTGGTCCATGTAATTGCCTGGGCTTTGTGTTCATTATTCGCTCAATACAATTAACATTTCAATAAAGTATCTGCTGATTGCAAAGATTTATTAATTAAATTTTAATTGCAATGCGATAAGAGATTGTTTATGGCTTGCAAATGGAAGCAAAGCTTTTCCTAAATGCTAATATTACATAGACTAAAAAAAAAAAAGACTATTAACACTCTCTGGACGATTTATTTAATTATTTTTCTAACGATTAGAAATTTCTTATGAAATTATTTCTTTTTATACTTCTATTATGCATTTTATACAGAATTCCTAAGAGATTTTCATATCTATACTTTCAGGAATTTTAGATCCGATTGCTAAAAGATATGCCACTGTCGCCCCTAAACATCAAATATGAATGCTATAAATGCGTATAAAGTAACGTACAAACTAAAGGTAGACAGACTATGAACTGAATAGACCGACAGAAACCATCGGAATATGTTTCAAAAAAAAAATGATGTGTTCTAATTCTTCTCAACATAAGAACAGACGGCGTTTGTTAATTAAATTCTTAATTTAATAAATATACACACAAAAAAAAATGTTATGTAGTAATACTAAATTCATAATGTGAATAAATTAAAAAATTACACGCCGTTGAAGCATTAGTGCAATAGGACAGTATCTCGTAGGTACTCTCGTAAGCACACGAACTGCAGGTTTATTGTAACCAGAAGATCAATTTTTCTTCTCATATTAAATCTAGGTCATAGTTCAGATTCAGATAGTAAAATGAAATCTAGTCTAAAATTTATTCAATCCTCATTACAATCCTCCTTTTAATTGTTCCATTCAATTGCTTATACACAACAATTATGAGCAATATCATTAATAAAAATAATTCAGTTGTATTAAATTAGAGAATAGGATATGTGTATAAACACTTTATAGGTGAAAGGATCAGAACTGAAATACTTGAGCTGATCGCTACTGGTGCTGTCTGGCGAAAGATACTGGTTTGTTCTTATAACTGCAAATAAATGTTTATCCTCATTAGAGTGGATTTTTTAAGATGGCACTATGACATCTCTGCGTGAGAGTGGAACTAGTTCTTAACATCTTAAATTCTGTTAAAGTTTGTTGTAAAATGTAAAATAAACGATAATGGGAATTTTCATTACATTCTTATTCTTTTTCTAAGATTAAAAAATGGCAGGCACTGCTACCAGAAGCCCTTTAAAACTTTGTGAACAAAGTCCAGAATTAAATCTGGAGAAGAGGTTTTAATCTGTACTGGTGACAGAAATTCCACATGAAACAAATTTCTTCTATCCGTTGTTAAAGCTGGACAGTCACAAAGAATTAATATAACAATGTTAATTTTTTCTTGTCAAGAGTGACGTGTCTTTATAACGAAAATAAATAAATTTAAAAGTTAGACGGATTTGAATAGCAAAGACAAGACAAACACAAAAATTTGTTTAATTTATTGAAATTTGGCTGACCATACAACGTTGTTTCGAGCATTGCCAAGTACTCATCATCAGTGGTCTTAGGACATATTCGAATTTTCAATTAGTTTATAGTCCATATATAATTTGTTTGGACTGCAAGTGTTAGGCTAAGAACCCGTGCATGTGAAATTAGAAGCGATGACTAGTCATGTTATTTCACAAGTAGCCAAGGTTGTACAAATTTTCAATGCTCAAGTTCAAGGTTTTTTGTCACTTTTTATTTAATTAGTGACACTAACAGAAGCACTTGCAGTGCTTTAAATTAGAACGATCTTTTAAACTACAGCTTTAATATACGCATAGTTGTTTCCACATTTTCGAGGCATAATCTGCAATCCGAATTAGAAAAGAATTAAAGTTTATATAGATGATATTTTAGACCATAATGACCCGTAATTGAATCCGTTATCCTTAAAACCCTAAATTACCTTTTGAGAATTAAAGAATATTTTTATAAGAGTACGGTTTGATCAGTGTTTAGCTTTGTCTAAGTCCAAGAAAATCTTCCCAGTACACGAACCGCAAACGATTCTCCACCTCCTTGATTATTTGTTTTGTACTGACTCAGTTTAATTCACAAATTGCTAAGGGCGTGTAAAATCAGTTTTTGATGCAGTTCTGGCTAGTTCATTAGCTTGTTCATTTCCCAAAACTCTCCTGTGATCCGGAACACAATAAAGACTTACCTTATATCGAGTTGTAAGTAATCGTAGAAGCTCGTAATAGTCAAGAACCTGTTTCGACTTGACGTTCCATAATTCAAATACTTATTAGGATTAGCAATAAATTTTATCTGCATCATTTCAATTATTATAAACATTGTTAGAAGCTGAATCAATGTTACTGCAGTCAGTAAATGACAATAGATGACGTCTATGTATATAAATCATTTCATCTCACTGGAGTTTTTAAGTTGACACATTTAAATTAAGCAATTAACACTACTTCAATTTCCTAATTTAGTCAAAAAGCCTGGTTAAAAACTTAGAGAACTATTTTGTACAAATCATATCGACAGAAAAGTATGGTTTTAACAATTTGCTCTTCTAACTGATCTTGAGCTTATATATTTCATACGGTCTTTTGTAATTTTTGTAAGTGTTCAGGTGTAAAACTTTGTTATAGGGTATAGGGTGTAAATGTACTGTCTATGTAAATAGACCTTGTTATTATTATTGTTGTTGTAGCGCTTAGGGATCTATAAAGCAGATAACATGAACGAAATTATAAAGACGTGTACATGGATTAGGATGTGGATAGATAATTCTAGGCTAAGAGGGAAGGGGAGTGGCGGAATTTAAATTAAAGTCAGTAATGGAAAAACATATCTACACGAAAAATGTCAAACAAAACACTTTCCGGTTTTCCACTCCTTTTTGAAGTGTTGAACAGCATTTGGTCATCCAATTCGATGATTGGATCCGGCACATAGACTCGTTTGTTTTTGGAACAGTAAATTCCAATGCTTTATTGGAATCATTTAATATATATCGTTTTATATTCAATTTTTCCCAGTTTGATATAATATTTCAATATTTCGGTATGAGTATCTAATATAATTACTAATAAAGTATTTATTGTCTTTGTTTCTTTTTTTTTTGATTCATAAAGAGATTTTCCTAAAGTAGTGAACTACAACAACAAAATTTCTTTTTTATATTATTTTAATTAATTGAATTTTCGGCTGACCCATCATCAGTGGCCTTAGAAATAATTCTTGTATTTAATTTTTCGTAAATAATTTTTTGAGACTACAAGTACCAGGAATCGAACTTGTGCCTTGCATTTTCAAAGCATTGCCTATGACTTAATGAAATATTGGATCACCACTCATGCTGGCATATACTGACTGATACCACTTTGACTTGAGTTAAACTAATTAATTAATTATTTCAAAAATTTTGTTTATTACATTTTCGGATTTTCATTATAATTCGAATAATTATAATAATATCTTTTTTGCTTTTATTTTATATTATGAATAATTGGCTTATTGATTACTTTAAACTTACAAAAATTCATATATTTTATTATATTATTTATAAATACAACTATCGAAATTCGAAATAGTATAATTTAACTTATTTACAAAATACTTTGCAGTACCAATTAAAGTTAATTATTATGAATACATTAAGGATTTATTTAGTTTGTATATAAGAAAATATATATACCTAATATTATATATGTGTAGAAGCAAGTATATACGAGTACATAACAGCATTAGAACTAGAAACTTTACATATTTACAGATGATTTAGCTGACGTATTACTTATCCTATTCCGCCCTATGCTCTTGTCAAGAGCGGGGATGCTAACCAGGGAAATAATCATGTTACTTATAATACAAAAAAGATTAATTACTTGCATCGATTATTATTGTTAATATTTGGAACATTCGAGATTACAAAATAACTTATGAATTTATACAATTTTTTTTTTAAGTTTATTTCATAAATTTAAGCTACATCAGTACTTGCAACTGATTTACGATAATGCTTCATACATAATTAGAATCAGTCGGTACAATATATTACATAGTTGTATTTTTATAGTAGGTAATTATTATTAAAGGTTAGATAAGTACTCGTACATAAGGTTTTTCTGTATCTGAACTTAAATACTCGTAGTTTTCGACCTCAGCTAAAATTTTCAATTTTGCTATTTTTTAAGTTTTTTTGTATATTTTGTATATTTTGTATACACCATATATAACTTCATCAATAATACTAATTTAATATAAACAATCGTTAATGGTAGTTTTATGTATGTACAATTGAATTACAATGTAAAATGCGCTAACATCACAGCAAATTGGGTTTGTAAATTAAACTTTATACAGTTTCAAAGAAAACTGAACTAAGAGATTATTTTTTAAAAATAAAATTTAGTCGCATTTAGTGAAGAAACGTAAAAGTTGCAATTGAGAGGGCAGGTGACTTTTGTGCTGAAACCGTAGTGAGTTTTTTTATCCTAAATGCATCAGACTCGGATGAAAGTAGCCCGCCATCGCCCATTGAGCGCCGGGCGCACCACGTCCCAAGGCGGCCATTTTGATTTTCTCGATTTCCGCTTCCTGCAGGCGTTTCGCTTTGGCACGTCGATTTTGAAACCAAATCTTAACTTGAGTTTCTGTAAGCCGCAGCGACGACGAGAACTCGGCACGTTCTGCTATGCTGAGGTATTGTTTCTCCCGGAATTTCTTCTCCAATGAGAGAAGCTGCTGTGTAGTGAACGGTGTGCGTGGCTTACGGTTCGGTTTGTGCTTCCGTAGATTGCATTTGATGCGTGGTGGCTCATTGTTATCTGAAAGATAAAGATAAAGACGTAAAAAATATTAATAATCAAATTTAATTTTTGAATAGTAATTTTAAAAAAAAATTTGAATAATTTAAAAATGATAACTGAACACTTCAGTTCCAATATATATATAGTAAAATTAACGAAAAAATGTTTTAAAATTTTATTGTATTTTGTATAATTTTAAAATACCTTTTCCTACTAATATTAATATAATTAAAACAAAAGCATGTGCACAAATATTTTAATTAGAAATAAATTAAATTGTTGCACTATCTAGAGACACACGTCTACATGCAATTGGAAATCAATTAGGAGATCGCATGTTCATATATAAAGCGAAAGGCAGAAAAATCTCTACTATTTACACATTATCTGCAATTTCAGCGAACAACAACAACAACAACAAGTCCTGCCATTGCGGCATTGTTGTAAAATACTGGCATATTAAAATTCTAATGTAAATGCTGCAGTGCCGTCTGCAGTCTGCAGTCGGCAGTCGTATGTATGCCTTACCGACTTTTACGACATTTTTGAGTTGCGACTTACGACTTCTTTAACAAAATATTTTTGCTTTTAAATGGCCAATAAATTTGCTGTCCAAACTATTTGTCAACCAATACCGTAAACAAAAGGCACGTCGTTGCCTTGGTGATAATTGTGCAAATTGTGTTTTTCTTGTGTCTTCGAGTGCAGCGAACAGCAAATACTGCAAGTCAATTGACTGCACTTTTTGTGCCGATTATTGTGGATTATTGGGGATTACTGTGGATTTAAATGTTAAGCCACATTCAAGTGCAGTTTCCAAACCAAATTAACTTCAAATAAGAAAGTTAGCACAACAACTCCAATGGCATAATGGTTGAGTGGAGTTTCTGCTCCGAGAATTACATTTTCTGCAAGCGTCCGAGTGAGCAGCTCTTACTTCACGACAAACATGTAAAGCATTTCCAGCCTGGCATTAAAATGTTAATGAAAGTATCTGTAATGAAGATGAACCAACCAATCGCTCCTATACTTAGTCTACTTAGTACGCAAATGTTCCCGAACAAAGCGATCATTTTGCCCAATTTAAGAAACCACAAAGGCGCAAATGGAATTTTAAAGACACTTAGTAATAGGGTCAGACAAAGATCACATAATTTATCGGCTGCAGTGCAGCATATGCAACTCCATCTCCATCTGCATCTCCATCTCCATCTCCACCCATGAGCTTACCGATTTTTTGACAGACATACCGAGCGACATACAGACGTACAGGCGGATAGACGGACAGGCGGATAGAGGGACAGAGTATGGATGGATGGACAGACATAATACAAAATACAAAATGCAAAGACGAAAGATTAAATAAATCAAGTGGATGCCACCTAAAAACAAATAAACAAACTGAAGAGCAAATAAATTGAGTTGCAAGCGAGTGTGCGAGGAAGGACGCAGCATGCAGAACACAATAAACACGAAATTGTTTAATTTTATGCACAATTTCACATATTTAAATTTGTTTTCTGAAAAATTTCAGATTTTTTTCTTAAGGTTTTTTCGCTTTAAAGTTCCAAAATAAATTGCAGTTGAAATGTTACAAATTAAAATGCAATAAATGAAACAAAACACAAAGCAAATATTTTTTCTCCATTTTTTAGTGGTTTTTTTTTGTTTTGTTTTTTATATTTAATTTGGATATTTTGTTTTTGTCTGTAATTGCAGCAAAGTCGAAACATAGGCGGATTCAAATTCATCAAAACCCTGTGCTCTGTGTCAACTATCAAAGCCTTACGCGATAGGCGGTGCCTGGCAGAAAAGCAAGCTCTGCTCTCATCACACTTTCAGATACAAAATTATTTTTTCGTTTCTAAATTTATGTTATTATGTACACAGCTTGTTCTGTGCCCTCACTTCATAGTCGAAACACGTGCCTCTATATGTACAATTTCGGGAGTCCGATGTCGATATGTATGAAGACGCAACTCATCAGAATCGACTTTCAACAAGTGTTTCTGATGTTTTGTTTTAATATTTGAAAATTAATTTCAAATTTATTAAGTAAACACCGAAAATATTGCAATACACCACATGACAAAAAATTTGGCATACGTTGAGTGAGAAAATTAATTAGTAGTCGTACACATATATAAGTTGAAGAATAATTAAGGTTAAACTGGCTGGCTGTACGTGAGACTTATAGATTAATTAAACCCTAACAATACTAGATGAAGCTAACTCCCCACTTCGAATTGTCATGGTCCTTCTTAGCATTACCTTTCTTGATACTGTTATGACTAATGACAGTATCTATCTTTTCAAAAACTTACTACAAGATATTTATAAAGGCTTATTTAAGGAAATAAGCATCTTTTCTCTGAACAATTCACTTCTGGGTTGATTAATATTTTCACCAATTTTTTCACAGTCTGATGCGACGGCTTTCCAATATGCATACCAAATTTGTAAAAGGCGTCTATACATCATCGAATATAATTTTTTCTTCACCTTTTTCTGCTAAGACCGCCAATTGTTGTCATTACTGAGAACTTGAACATATTGATAAATGAGTTAGGACAAATTTAATATACCTTTTTTGCTAAAAATTTGGAGCATATATAATTATAAAAAAATTTCGTCCCGATTCAACATTATTTAAATTTCGTAGAAATAATATGTAAAAAGTATATCTGTTGAAAGGAAGTACTATAATTATCTAATATTTCCTCGGCTCAAATATTAGCCGAATATTCGTGACACTATGTTTTTTAATGAACTATTGTATTCGTGTAATTGTCTATAATTTAATTCAAAATTATTCTTTATGAGTTTTCCAAGAAATTGTTAATCGGTTTTAAAAGATATAGTACAAAGCTATATATCAAAATTGAAACTTAAAGAATCTTATTAGAATATAACTTGTTTGCTTCCCATGTATGTAATTTCTTATTTATATATTACTATTCATTATGCTTCTTATGTATTACTTATTAAATAAATAATATATTTATAATAATTTTTTCTTTTTGAATCCACATACCAAAAATTGAGGTCTTAGATCTACTCCCGGTTTTACTTATAATTATTAGCTTATGCAGATTCTAGTAGTTCCATTAGTACTTGAAAATCTATATTGCATTGTTAATCTTACAGACAACAAATTATTGTTTCAACTTAATGAATAAAATATCCTATCTGAACCTACAAAATAGACCCTCTACAAAATAGTAGGTACATACTATTAAATACCACATAACCATTTTTATGATTGTCAGTGCCATTCAAAACTCTAATTTAATTATTAAATATATTATTTTCTGACTGCTTAGTACTTCGATCTCCTTGCAGTGTTTAAGGAGATCGTAAAAGGATCATAACTTCTCTCCTGTATTCAACAGCAACTCTTTTCCCACTATCGCACCGTACAGGTTGTCATATCAGTCAGTTTATAAATGGTAGCATAAATATCAATAACATCGAATCTGCATCTTAATTTTAAACACACCATTTAAATAGATACACATAATTTTAATTTTACGTTATCTCAACAGATCGCATTATATCCACTATAATCACCATAAAAACCAAACCGAATGCATGTGCGGGTATGCGCAGTGAAATTCATGCACGGGATCACTGCAGTTGCTGCATTTGTCTTAATATATTCAAAAGTATAAAAATTGTTTTGAATTCTTGGAAGTCAGATACAATGAATAACATCGTCCATATTCAAAATTAATCGTTTGTGTACATTTCAATTCAATAACTGCTTCACTGCTTAACTGCTCAACTGCTCAACTGCTCAACTGCTCAACTGCTCAACTTGTCGACTGGTCGATTGTTGCTGTAGCTATGACTATAGCCCAGACTGAGGCTGAAGCTGAAGCAGAAGCTGAGGCCGGTGACGTTATGGTGCCGTTGTGGAAACGTTAAAACAAAACGTGGCTTAATTTAATTACTTGATCACCATACATAAAAAACCGAATAAGCAGCAGCCCCGCAACCAGGCAGCCTAGTACGGACTGACAGCGCAGCAAGCAGTAGTCACCAATTACAGAATACCCAGATACAGAATATAGATACAGATACAGATACAGATGCAGTTTCGAGCCCAACAGAGAAGCTCATTAAGTAATTAGTGTGACATGTCAAACTTACGTTAATGTTGTGTATCTTCGTTTTCATATTAAATTAAATTCTTCAATAAAAATTGGGAAGTGTTTTTGTTAATAAAATTACAAAAAAATTAAAAAAAAATAAATAAAAATAATCAAAAATGTATCGACAACATTCGTAAATAACTTGTTTCTCACTGCAGTTGCAGTCATGTGAAAATTTTCAACATTGTTAGATACAACCACGAAGCATCCGAACACTTGATTGACAAATGTGACAGCAGCTACAAATATGTTTGTAGAAATAGTTTTGGATACAGTATATTCTTATGAAACGTAATTACTAAATTAATAATTTTATTAATTAAACCAATTAATTAAGCAGCAAGACATAATTTTAATCTCCTCATCTGTTAGAATTGCCACGATTTAATTAAAGCGACTTTAAGTAGTTGGAGCCTTTTTCGTCCGCCGTTGACCATTTTAGCCTCAAGTTGCACAACCTTTCGGTTCGCAATTACCAATTAAATGTGCAACATATTTCATGAGACAAATTTGATGTATTGAAATGTGTGCAACACCAGCGAAACATTCCATTTCATTAATTTCTTACAAAACCGTTTTTACCTTAAACCGAAATGAATACTCGTATACGTACGCACAGTGACAGCAGATACCGACGAGTACGTATCTCCTGCCCGTTTAAGTGCAAATATTTAAAATGATAATTTTGAAAAAGCTTTAATTAAAAACTAATTGCAAACAATTTGCACCGCAATTGAATTTTTGTTCCACTCATTTTACATAGCTGAATCGCTGTATTTTAGACATAATGCCTATGTTTAAGTGATCGGTGATCGAAGATCGGTGATCGAAGATCGGTGATCGAAGATCGGTGATCGGTGATCA